AATTGTAAATGGGATCGACTCCTTGATTTGTCTCTCTTCTGTCTTGTTGTTGGTGTATAGGAATGCCACTGATTTCTGTGCATTGATTTTATATTTATTATACATGATATTTTTAACTTTTTAAATCTATTATATATAAACAATCTTTACTCATAAAAATTCTTACACAAGTTTGATAGCTCCATTGTATAACAATGTCCAGATACCCAATAATCAAATGTACCTACTTTCAGACTTCTTGATTTTCTAGTTTTCTTATATTATACGTGATGTTGCACAAATCTGTGTTGTTTTTTTTTTTAAAGATTTTATTTATTTATTCATGAAAGACAGAGAGAGAGAGAGAGAGATTGGCAGAGGGAGAAGCAGGCTCCCAAGGAGCAGGGAGCCCGACGCGGGACTCGATCCCAGGACTCTGGTATCATGACCCGAGCTGAAGGCAGACGCTTAACCATCTGAGCCACCCAGGCGCCCAATCTGTGTGGTTTTATCATGAAATAAAATCTTACAATCTCCTGTCATTAGAGCAGCAATGCCTCAAAAGGAATTGCATTTTTACTAAGCGCTGATTTTTTTTTAAAAAAAAGCAGTTACCAATAATCAGTCCTGAGACAGAATGGCATAGGGTATGACAATCCATGAAGGATATGGTTTTTGCTATCATAATAATTAGAGACCTGTACATCCTTCAAGGGTCAGCATGCTTCCACCTAATTAATACCTCAGAACACAAAAACAAAGATGAGCCAAAACTTCAAATCTCCCATTCTAAATTCAAACAAACTGCAGAGATACTTAACAGCACATAAGTAACTGAATTATCAGTGAATTTTCTTTAAGTTCAATTTTATTCCCAAGGAGAATGATCATAAAAAGACTTACTACAGAAGCATTAGGTGCAGACAAATAAGTCATAAAATCTTTTGCGAATTTATGCTGGAAAAAAAAAAGAAAAAAATCTGAGGTTAAAAGAAGCACATCAACACTTTAAAAAAGAGAACAGAGTAAACTAAGATCCTTCTTACCAAACAATTAAACGCTGATAAGTTTTCTGAGCCAGCAAATCGAAAACCCAGAGACAAACAGGCTCCTGCAATTATGTAGACATGTGCTTGCCTGAAAACAGATTACAAGAAATTTAATACTGCCATTATTTTGCTTTAAAATTCATTATTACTATTTTCTGGGGGTAAAAATAATAAATATTCCTGTTCTCGAAACTAGTTTATATTCTTCTGGGAATGCTCAACTGTGCCTCTATTCCATCAGCAGATTTCTTCAGCAGAAGGACCATGTAGCCCTTACTGATAAAGTGTGCCTCTTGACTGCATTTTTCACACACAGCAAGAAGATAATTTTTTTAAAATAACTGCCAAATTTTTTAATGAAAAGGATAAAAGAGGAATATGTACAAGTTAAATCTCTGACACTTTTTTGAGGGCAAGAGCTCTACACTTCAGAGACCTAAACAAAAAACAATGAAAAAATCAACTCTGTGAGCATCTGATAAGCAATGGTTAGAAACATGGGGGATTCAGAATTACTCAAATCAAGGACAGTACTTTTCCCACATAGTATATTTCTATTTATCCATGAGAAATGCTACGATAGCTCATTTGATTTACATATTTCCTGACTTACGACAAAGTTTCCAAATTCAAATCCTCTGAGCAAGGCAATTCAATTTCACTGAGAGAGATACTATTTTCTCTTATAATCTGTCAAAAGAGAAAGCAAGAATACCTGGACATTAATATTCAAGTTACAAATATTAAATGATTTGAAAAATAACATACTGCTTTTGGGGCGCCTGGGTGGCTCAGTTGGTTAACCATCTGACTCTTGATTTCGGCTCAGGTCATGATCTCAGGGTTGTGATACCAAGCCCCACACAGGGCTCTGCACTGGGCATGAAGCCTGCTTCAGATTCTCTCTCTCCCTCTGCCCCTCCCCCCAGGACCCTTCACCAAAAAAAAAAAGAAAAACAACATACTGCTTTTCATGGCCATAAGTACATATAATAAGCCATTTAATTCAAAGACATGTATTTTAATCACACTGAATGCAATCCAACTTCAAATCTAAGATGGACCTAACAATAACTGAATAGGACTAAATGTGTATGAACTGGAGTACCGAAGTGTATTCTGAGTCAGTAACAGGGTGATATTATTTCACACCAGTGAAATGAAATGCAAAGATGACTGCAGAATAGGGCTGGAGCAAGAATATGGGAAAGCAGTGGGTAGAGGGAAAAAAGCAACTGGAAAGAACTCTAAACAGAGTTCTTATTCATGAGCTACTTCTCATTCATGAGATATTTTTAGCCTTATGCCTACCAGAGTAAGGATAGTCACTAGATTAGTTACCCAAGCTAAACTAAACCATCAACCATCAGGGGCACCTGGGTGGCTCAGTTAGTCTGCCTTCAGCTCAGGTCACGATCCCAGGGTCCTGGGATCGAGCCCCACGTCGGGCTCTCTGCTCAGCAGGAAGCCTGCTTCTCCCTCTCCCACTCCCCCTGTTTGTGTTCCCTCTCTCGCTGTCTCTGTCAAATAAATAAATAAAATCTTAAAAAAAAAATAAAAAAATAAACCATCAATATGTTAATCTATAACTACTGTTTAGAAACACATACCTTTCCTTATAGTGTAAGTAGTAAATAAAACTTTATCAAAATTAAATTTGATTTAAATTACCCAATTAAATCATTTAATTAACTTTAAATTAAATTTTAAAAATTATTCTTATAATCTTTTAGAAGACTCTTTAGAAGAGTAATATTTCAGGATGCTTTCTATAATAGACCAATAAATATTCTAAACTCACTTATGACCCAGTCTTCTTATGAACTGAATATCACCAAATCAAAAAACTTGAAATACCTTTTCTCTTTGATAATCTCAATGAGGTAAGCAATTATGCTGGCTGTGTAATATAGGCTGATAACTACTTCCATCTTTCTTCCTTCCTCTACAGATTTTATTTTTAATTTGGAATGTTATTTACTCAGAAATTGAGAGACATTCTGAGAAATTGATATAACTCCAAAGTGAGTAATTTATATACAGATAACCTAATTATAACATTTATATAAAGTGTTTATTGTAACATTATATAGGAATGGAATATTTCTATTTTGACAGCAGGCATTTATAAGCTCCTTTTATCTTCAAAACTGGAGCTTAAGGCCTAGGTTCAGCAGGGACCACACTAGCTCTGTGACAACGAGCAATTTTCTTGACTGCTCTGTGTCTCGTCTGTAAAATGAGCACAGTAAATGCCTACCTTCTTGGTTCCTGTGAGAATTAGAAGACTCAATCTACTCAAGGCTCTTAAAATTAATGTCTGCTACATAGTAAGTCTTAAGTGTTAGCTGCTATCATCACCATCATCATTAATCTGTGTACTATAACACTATACTTGATCATAAACCATTAAAAAGCACCACTAAGAACTTGGGTTGTAAATAATTGGGGGAGGAGAGGGAGAACCCCTCCTCAATCTGGTCCTTGTCATCTTTCCTATGGTCTCCTAAAGTTTAAAAAAAAAAATCAAAAATATAAGGAGTAATCAAAGGGAGAAATGTAATCCTTTAAGGGCAAGGTGAAACATCTAGGAAATGAACAAGGAAAAACCACCAAACTCCTCTGTCTTGTACGGGTACAATGCAAAACTCTTAAGATCTGAAGTCCTACTAGCTAGTTTCAGTTTTACCCCAGCTTTTAATAGCTGGGTGACTCTGGACCCCCAGCCTGCCTTCTTTCAACTAAGAATACACTGTAACAGTGTTAACAGTACCTCTCGCTACTAAGTGCTAGCTGCCAGGAAGGAAAGATGGAAAAGAAAAGACACAGTAGCTGACTTTGAGGAGTTCAGCCTAATGGATGCACAGACATACTGATAACAAACAATAGCACATTGTTCCCACCCATGCACTGAGGGCAATACTTGAACAAGTCACAGTACAGCACTGCCTAAGAGCATAACACAAGGTTGTATAGTTACACTTGTAATGAAGGAAAAAGTGCTATGAAGACATTAGTTGTTATTTTAGATGTGCCTTAAGTCCAAACAAACAAAAAAGCAGTTTACAAAGTGACCTTTTTAATACCTCTTTTAACACTAGGTTGTACCCTACAAGGGGCCTTGCTACAGAATCAATGAGATGAGTGGGTGAAAACTAGGAGAAAAATGGAGAGTGACAGGAAGTATCAATGAACAGAACGGTGAACTTGTTATATGTATCTGAGGATCCCTGATACAAACAAGGCCAAATTTAAAAATATTAAGTCTGAAGTAAAAGAAATACCAGAAAGATAACTATATATAAAAAGTCCAAGGACCACATGTCCACAAAAGTTAAAAATAGAACTCTGACATGGATCCTCACTTTCTGCTCTGGAATACAGTTATGTGTGTACATGCTTAACTTTGTAAACTAAACTTAGTAAATGTACTAAAGTTTCTTGAGGACAGTCCACATTTCAGATGCATGTTAAATGTAGCCTAGAGTTTAGCATTTACAGAGGTCATTTACAGAAGATCAACAAATACGTACTGAATGAAGGAATGGGGGAAAAAAGTATAATTTTATACTACAATATATTTTTAAAGGGCACTTTCAGAAAGAACTGTCATCTCTGACATCCAGATGTGCTAGGAGATAAAATTCTGGTGACAAATGGCAGAGTCAATTAAAACAACTCTTCCTCACCTGTTTCACATTAATGGTTAACAAACTGGAAGAATCAAACAGATACAAATAATCTAGGAGTTCAGGTAATGGATGAATAAACTATCAGACTGACTCTCTTGCAGAAAACAAGTATAAACTCTGGGCAAAATATAAAAATTAATTATCATGGCAGGGGTCAGCAAACTTTTCCTTAAAGGGCCAAAGAGTAAACATTTCTGGGTTGTAGACCATATAGTATCTAAAGCAACTCCTGATTTCTGCTGTTGTAACACAAAAGCAGCTACATGTAATAAGTAAATGAATGACATGGCTGTGTCCTGGTAAAACTTTACTTATAAAAACAGGTGGGCCATAGTTCCCCAATCCTTGACCTAAAGGCACTAGAGATCAAACAAAAGCAAGCAGTTTCTGGAGGAGAGGTGACACTTAGAAGACAGGAAAACTAGTGGGTAAGTTTCCTTTTTCATGGCTTCTGGCCTGAGGGCAGGTCCTAGTCTGTGCCATAAAGGGCAGCTTAATTAGGTAAAAAATGTCAAAAATACTTTTTAAGGTACTTTGGTACATTTAATTTTTAATACTACAATTTCTCAGGATCTGGGGCCAAAAGAGAAGACTGTGGTCTGTGGTCAGCACACAATCTTGAAGTGCCCACGTTTTCAAGAGACACTATAATTATCAATACTGCCTTTATTAAAAAAAGTATTTTACAGGGTTTTGTAAAATCCCACAAGAAATTGTAATTTATGCTATTAAAGATATAACAATGTTTATTATATATACTCACTTGAGGAACGTTGCTATCAACCCACTTGGAATTTGGTAAAATATCATCCCACAGAATCAGGCATCGAGCAAGTGTCTTAAAAACGTAACAGAGATAAAATCAATTAGAGTAGGCAAAGTTCATAGATTTTATAATAATCATATTAAATAATGTAAAAATCAGTTCTCAACTGATGGCAATTTTGAAAAATACAGTACATAATATCAACCTAAGCTAAACTCATTAAAATAAATTGAAGTTTAGATTTTAACACACAAAAACACCCTACAATTGAGTTAATTGTTATTAAAGTTTAAAGGACTTTTAAACACTTGCTTCAAAAAAGAAAAATCACAAAGAATCTTAGCACTGTCTATATAACTTAAAAGCTTTCATATGCTAAAAACTTACAAGTTTAAACATTAAAGAATAAAAGGAAAAATAGAGGCAATTATGTCAAATAGTTAGTCATTAATTATACCCTTAATAGTAATGCTGCATCCTTAGTAATGAAAGAATGTAAAATAAAGCAGCCGTAGCCACTTACTGCCTGTTGAATAATGTAAGAAGTTGAAATGTCAACTCGTAGCATTATATAGCAACATGGTTGTGTTTCCTGGCATTCCTACAAGTTACATTTGGGAAATTTCAAAAGAATACTATCAATTACATCTAGATGATGGATTAATAGTAAAAGACTCCCCTATAGAAACATTTATATTCACAAGCTAAACTTGAGAAACACAAACAAGAGTCCTAATGTTAGCAGAAAAAAAAAAATTACGAAGTACATACCCTAAGCAAGAGAAATTCTGGCTTCACAAAGTCTAGCAAATACATGGTGTCAGGAGCACGAAGCCAATCTGCAATAGATCTGTTGGTGGAGGATATCAGTAGGCATTACTGCTCAACTAGAGGACAAAAAAATCAGGAATCCCAAGACTGGTTTCAAAACACTTCTCCCCACTCCAACCACTACCCTATTGGCTTTCCATAGTATTTTATAACCTCAATACAGTATTTGTCATGTATTAATGTCTGTCCTATGACAACATATGCTTTATGAAAACAGATATTTTTAAGTTTTGTTTTGTTCATTGAAACATCTCCATTACCAAGAAAGCACTAACATACATATTCATCAAAATAGATGAAAAATACCTGTTTTTAACCATTTTGTTAATTTTACATACATTCACTTTTCTTTTTTTTTTTTTTTTAATTTTATTTATTTATTTGACAGAGAGAGACAGTGAGAGCAGGAACACAAGCAGGGGGAGTGGGAGAGGGCGAAGCAGGCTTCCCGCTGAGCGGGGAGCCGGATGTGGGACTCGATCCCAGGATCCTGGGATCATGACCTGAGCTGAAGGCAGACGCTCAACGACTGAGCCACCCAGGCGCCCATACATTCACTTTTCTAACAGGAAAAATTCACAATACTGAAAAAATTCTTGAATCTTAGAATATTTTTTAACTTAAAAGACTTAAAATTTAAAACATAGTTCAATGTCTCCTACCCAACTTACTCTTCTATGTAAAATGTAAAAGAATAAATGCCAAAAGTTTACTTTCAAGTGTCCAGCACTAATTACTGGGAGCTGGGAAGGAAGCTGGTATGATTATTAGGCAAGTTCTTGAACTAAGCAGAAATCATTTTTAGAAATGGCAACCAAGAATAGAATAATGCTACGTGATTCTGGCTTAACCAATCCTCAAATAACATGCATAATTAATGAAAAGGAATTTGGGCATTTTCTGATTGTCAGTGACACCAACTATAAAACAAAAATAAATAAAAATTGGCAATTATATTGTCAAAGATTAAAATAGCAAAATATATTGTTTCTAGATAAAACTCTGTATAACTTGAGTACTGAAGAGAATCAAAATCAGGTTAATCCAGTACAAGGAAAATAAACACATTAAGATAATTTAGTTTTACTACTGAGGTCAGAAAGGAAGTCACACTATCATGGCAAGGGGTGAAGAGGGGGGATGTGATACCTGTTATTGGTTTTTAAGTAGATCATAGCCAAAGCTAGAGTGGCACCTGGACAAGTTACATCCACATTTATGGTATCTCCTTCCTATCAAAAAAAAAAAAAGTTTATGTAAAAAAAATTCTGATTACAAATTCTTCTGAATACTAGCCTATGCTTAAAATTAACAGATTACAAATGTTGGTAAGAAAATTACTATTTTCAAATTAACTCCTTAGCTTCCAGAATTTTGATCTGTTTCTTTATTTTGGACTTACTTTGATTTGATAACTTGGAGATTTATGCTTCTCCCTATGCATTCCTGCTTGAAAGCGCCTATGACCTCCAACCATGTACTGATAAAGCTGCTCAGGCACATTGAGATCAGACATACCTATCAAATTACTGCCATGCTGGAAAATGAAATAACAAACATATGAAAGGAAATCTTATGGATTAAGATTCATACACATACCCATGACAAATAAAACAATGAATTAACTTCAAGCAAGGTATTTTGGGTTTTTTAAATTAAAATAACTATTACTCATGACTTAATATTCAAACAAGCTCTTAATTATTCACATTAAGAATTACAATGCTTAGGGGCACCTGGGTGGCTCAGTAGATTGAGCATCCAACTCTTGATTTCCGCTCAGGTCATGATCTCAGGGTTGTGAGATCAAGCCCCACATTGGGCTCATGCTCAGCAGGGAGTCTGTTGGAGATTCTATCTCTCCCTCTACCTCTGTCCCTCCCCCTGAGCACACTAGCACACATTTTCTCTCCCTCTAAAATAAGAAATAAATCTTTGAAAAAAAAAAGAATTACAATACTCATATGTTCAAGTTAATACTTTCATTTCACAAAATAAAGCCTTCAAAATACAGTTAATTACTAATAATAAAAGAAAATATTAGGTATATAAGTGAAACTTGAACTACAAACATCTGAGTCCTTTCATTATTGTATCTATGAACTATTTCAGCAACAATAAGTATAATATAAACTTATTGAACACTTACTGTTTCAGGTACTATTCTGTGTGTTTAACATGGATTAATTTACCTAATATGACAATTCTACCAAATAGCTACTATTTTACAGATAAGGAAAGTGAGGCACACACAAAGCCCAAGGTTACAAAGCTAGTAATTGGCCCGGTTGGATATAAACAAGGATATAAAACAATCTATGGAGTTGCTTAGCCACTAGACAATACTGTAGTTAAAGGACATGACTCACTGGTGAGAACCAAATCAATGTCCCAATTCCCGGTATGCTGCTTTTCCACTGTAATCCATGGAGTTGCTTAGCCACTAGACAATACTGTAGTTAAAGGACATGACTCACTGGTCAGAACCAAATCAATGTCCCAATTCCCAGTATGCTGCTTGTCCATTGTACCATCTGCTTCTTTAGTTCATGTGTCAAATGTGAAGAATCAAAAATCTAACAGACAGTGAACTTTCTTTTTATAATTTAGTTTCAGTATAACACTGTATTGGTGGTTCTTAAGGAACCCACATTCCAGGTAACTCAGTCATTTGATCAAATGTTTCTGATAATTCTACACTATGTCTCATAGATGTGATTAAAGATGGAACAAAGTGATATTGTATTCTGTTACAAAACAAATACTACTGTGACAACATTCTGAGATCCCAGTGAATACCAAGATGCCAAAAAAAGGTCATGGTTTATCTCTAGCAACTACTATAGACACTTAAAGCTCCCCATCATATACAGTTTTCTTTTTTCTGTCTGAGGGGGCTATCACTTCATCTTATGTCTTTAATTCTTCAAGATATTTCATTCCCTGAATATTTACATCTAAGCCAGGGGGATAAAAACTTTTAAGCCCCACTCTTAACTACAAATTCTCTCCATTTCCAAATCTAGCACTTTTTGAAAAATATCCAGAAAGAAAAAAAAGCTGAGAATCAGGTTAAGTCACAGTAAGGCAGAGTGCTATTCAGAGTTAAGTGTCAAGATCATTTGTCTCAACATGCAGATGTCATAACTGAAGCATCTGAAGGCACAGAGAATGCTTACCCCCAAGCAAACCATGCCCAGAGCCAAGCCGGCAGCTAAAGAGTAAGACTCCCTGTCAGTGCAGTATTCCATTTCAGGACCAGGGGGCCGTCCTATAAAATAGAAAATAACACAGTTCAAGCTGGCCCCTGGCCTCCTAAAATTCTATCATAAATTTTAGAATTAGCTTTCTAGTAAGTTGCATAAGAACCATGGAGTCAATACAACCCCGCTCAGAAAGATACGACATTATCACAAATGGTATGCACAACTGTTGGTTTACTACAAAGCAAAGCCCCAAATGGTTCCTTTAATGTACCAATTTGAAAGGAGCGACTTTTAGACACAATGAAACCTCAGGTTTTATTAAGGAAAAAAAACAAAATTATTTGACCACTTCAAGTATACACACAAGAAAAACTGAAAATAGGAGATAATGATTTAATATAGTATTTCTAAAAGTTGTCTCAATGAAAGGAAAAGTCAACTGATACACCAGGGAGTCTGTGAGATCTCATAGAAGTATATATCTTTACATGTTAAGATATTTCTTGATTGTCTTAAAATATAAAAAATCTGTTTTATTTTTAAATATTTTAGGTGGTTTTGTATAAAAAGGATGTGTTCACATGTTCCCCAGTCTTAAAGTAAAATTGATATTCTAGGGAAAAAAATTATCAAGAAATAGAAAAATTTTTTAAAGGAAGGGCACTCAAAAATGTTTTAATTTTTAATCTCTTGCATTTTGTTTTTGTTTTGCTATTTCCAATCCACTGTTCAAATACTAATAATGGACAGGAAGGACTCTAAATTTTTAAGCTAAATATTATGTTTTCAGACACTTAACTCGTACTTTTAAACAGCACCCCCTGATTCTAGTTCTATCTCTAGAGCAGCAAATATACATAAAGACCCCTCTGTCCAAAACAAATTTCACACTCCTGGGATTTTACACACAGGAAAAAATTAAAAAAAAAAAATATTATACAAAAGTAACCAATATTACACAAAAGTAATATATATAATAGCAAAAAATCAGAAACAAACTAAAAAAGTCCTGAAAATGAGAAAACAGGCAATTTACAGAATACCGTTTCGATGAGATACGACACAATATGAAATTAATTTTAAAAAACATTTATGACAATGACATATGGAAAGGGCAATATAAAAACATTATGTACATTCTGACTATGATGATATGAAAGAGCATATGCATATGAATCTAGATGAAATCCTCTACATACAACATGAAAGAGGTGTGCTATAAATCACCTTGCAGATGAACAAGCTTTAAAAGCCACTCTTGAGTATCTTCTGAATAAATGTTTCTCAGACCAACTTATGCTATCATGTATTTCGGCAACAGAAAAATTTCAGTTTTGTGAATAATTTATTTCATCATTGTAGTAGATTAAATTGTTGGTGTCAATTTTTCACTGCCCTACAGTGCTCGTATATATACATCCATACCCTTGACAGAGCCTTATGGTGGACCTGAACATGTGACTCGCTTTGACCGGGGATCTTAACTGGCACAATGTAAGCAAAGGCCTGAAATGTGCTTCCATTATTTGGTTCTCCCTCTTGACCTTCTGTTACCACCATAAAACAAGCACATCCTCTAGCCTGGGCCTCAGAATAAATCATCTGGAACAAGAGCCAGAGCAGCATATCTGCAGACCTATGGCCTAAAGCGGAGGCGCTGGGCCAATTTTGTGGTTGTTAGATAGCATTATTGTGGCAACAGCTAACTAACAAAGCCATTCCAGAGAAAAACATACATTCAACAATATATCCTGAAATAGGATAGAACAAGACATGGAATTATGTATCTAAATTAGTGAACATATTAATAATGCCAATAGAACATATTAATAATGCCAATAGCATTTCCATTTGTCAGAAAAAGATAACAATACATAAGACACATTTCCAAAAGGTTTAGACTCAATTAAAAACAGAGAAAATGCATTTCATTACCAACATACCCACCAGCACGTAAAGGAGGAAAAGCAAGAGTCAATCACTTCCATTCTCTTGAAAGTAATAATTGTCTAACAGAATGAACACTGTTTCTAGAGATCAAAGTAATCAACTTTGCATTTCAAGTGCAGATCACTGCTAGATACTGCCTAGTAAAGACAAAGCGGATAAACAGCACTCTCACTTGTGATTAAAACCACAGGTTACTGCATTAAATAGGATCTCTGGAGCTCAACAATGGGCTGGCCAAATAAACATGCAGATTAATAACCTGCACACTAATATCAGTCTTAGAAAATATTACTTATACTATTTTTTTTAATTAGCATCAGAACATTCTAACAAAAGCTACTATTTTTCCTTAATTTTTGTGATTTTACTATTGTTTTTACTTTGGTTCCTGTGGAGAGGGCAATGTATGTTTATGAAGACACAGCACTATTAATGCCATACCTATTTCAGCCAAAAGGACTTCCGCCGTATGCCTGTGAGCTGTCCCTTGATATACGAGGCCAATGCCAACCACTGCAGCCACTTGGACATTGTGAGGAACATCAAGCTCCGTGGACGTTGGGGGTAAGAGGGCAGGAATGTGAATGCTAAGAAGCCGAGTAATTGACATATCCATGGTGCCTAGTTTAGCAGCAGAAACACCAAGGAGCAGTCCAATGCTTGTCATTTCATGACCCTAAGGTAGAAAGTAAAATGAAATGTAAGTCACTATCTGTGCAGTCTTTAATAAAGTACTGCCTGCCAGTACTTTCAGTAAGTACTTTTATTGACAGGCACAGTGAGAAGCACCAAGAATACAACAGCAAACTAAAGAGACAACAGTCCTTACTCTCACGATGCAAGCGCCCTAATAGGGTAAAAAGTGTTGAAGTAAAAATATACAAATATATTATTGAAAAGCAGCATATTGAAAAAGCACAAAGTAATATGAAGTATTATTGTTTAAGACCCTAATTTCAATTAAGAGGAGCTGAAGAATTATTAGGAATCTCTAGAGAAGTAAAACTTACAACAGGACCTGAAGGATTAATACAAATTAACCAGGAAAGTGGAAGAAAGGGGAGGCACACAGCTTTAGAAAGTAAGAGAAAATGAGGTCAAGTGAGAGAACAACATGTAAATGGTTCTGATGTGATCCAGAAATAACCCCTCACAGTAATGGTCAAGTGACCACAGAGTGCCAAGACAGTTCAATGTCTTTTCAGAAAATGGTGCTGTGATACTTATGGACCACACGCAAAAGAATAAAGCTGGACAGCTTCCTTACATCATTCACAGAAATTAACTCTAAGTGGACCACAGAACTAAATGTAAGAGCTAAAACTATAAAACTCCTAGAAGAAAACATAGGTGTAAATGGGTTAGGACCATGGGCTAGGCAATGAGATATGACACCAAAGCACAGCAATTAAAGAAAAAAATAGATGAACTGGACTTCATTAAAATTAAAAACTCTTGTGCTTCAAAGATACCATCAGAAAGTGAAAGACAACACAAAGAATGGGAGAAATTTTTGCAAATCATTTATCTGTTAATGGACTTAGTATCCAGAATACACAAAGAATACAATTTAGTAAGATAACCCAATTTTAAAATAAACATAGGATAGACATTTCTCCAAAGAAGACTTACAAATGGCCTATGAGCACATGAAAGATGCTCAACATCATTAGCCATCAGGGAAATGCAAACCAAAACAATGAGATATTACTTCACACCTAGTAGGATGCCTATAATTAAATAGACAGACAAATGTTGGCAAAAATGTGGAGAAACTAGAATCCTTATTTATTCCTGGTGGGACTGTAAAAAGGTTACAGCCACTCTGGAAACAGTTTGGTAGTTCCTCAGAAATTTAAACAAAGAGTTACCATATGACCCAGCAATTCTACTCCTAGGAATATACCCAAGAGAAATGAGAACATACATCCACACAAAAACATGTACATGTTGACAGCAGCACTATTCAGAACAGTTAAAAAGTAGAAATAACCCAACTATCCACCAACTGATGAATGGGTAAACACAGTCTATCCACACAATGGAATATCTATTCAGCAATAAAAAAGCATGAAGTGCTAATACATGATACAACATGAACAAACCGTGAAAACATTGTTAGAGAAAGAAGCCAGCCATAAAAGACCACCTACTGTAGGATTCCATTTATATGAAAGAACCAGAATCAGCAAATTCAGAGACAGAAAGTATATCCATGTAGCCAGGGCCTGGAGGGTGACTGCTACCGCTATGAGGGTCCTTTATAGACTGATGAAAATGTTCCAAAAGTAATAGCAGGAATGGATGCACAACTTTTTTGAACATACCAAAAACCACTGCACTGTATACTTTAAGTAGGTGAATTTTTATGGCATATAAGTGGAAGAGTTTATACCAAGAGAAAGAGTTTGGTTTGCCAAACTCTGAAGTGAAAGAACTTGGTTTGCCAAGGAGCTAAAATGGCCAGTCCCTATGGTTGGAGTGTGGAAAGCAAGGGGATGAGTGGTACAAAGTAAGGTTGGACAAGTGAGTGGGATCACATAGGCTCCCAGAATGTATATCAAGAGCAATGAAAGATCTTTAAACAGTTTTGACCAGGGAAGTGATATATGCTAATTTACACTTTAGAAAGATGACTCTGCCTGCTATGGGAAGAATGGATTGAGAGGTACAAGAATGAAGAAGGAAGAGCAAGGAGAACAATTAGGAGCTACCGCAGTGGCCTGGATAAGGCACACTACAAGGAGCTGGGAGTCTCACCTTAGTCAAGTAGTCATGGATATTGAGAGTAGCCAGCTTGGTAAGGTGCCCATTCAGACCCAGGGCCATGAGAAAGCCAGCATATTCATTGGCTAACTCGGCATGCTTGGGCTTATTGTAAACAATCCAAGCTGAGTCAATCTGGGAGGCAGGAGCTATCTTCAGGCCAGCAGCCACACCATTGTGGAAGCTGGCCCAGCTTGTCATGTTGGGAGGCACATCGATATTTCCACTGTTAAGGTCTACCGTTGTGTTCCGAGGAGGGGCCCGTCCTATTCAGGCAAACAAATTTAAAATTGAGAGAATGATTCATAAATCTAAAATTGCTCAACTAGGATTTTTGCAAACAGTGATTACCTTTTCTACATTCAAAACCCTTAACCTCGTAATATCTGGAATGACATTAGGTTATTATGAGTACTTTAACTTGTGCATCAAATTTGATGCAAGGTGAAAAAACCGTATTTAAAATAGTTCATTATCTGAAGCTGGACCACTTTCTTACACCATATACAAAAGTAAATTCCAAATGGGTTAAACACTTCCATGTGAGAACTGAAACCAAAAACCTCCTAGAAGAGAACATAGGCAGCAGTTTCTTTGACAGAGGCCAAAGCAACATTCCTCTAGATATGTCTCCTAAAGCAAGGGAAACAAAAGCAAAAACTTTTGGGACTACATCAAAATAAAATGCTTTTTTGCACAACAAAGGAAACTATCAACAAAACAAAAAGGAAATCTATTGAATGGGAGAAGATATTTGAAAATCATATATCCGATAAGGGGTTAATATCCAAAATATGTGAAGAACTTATATGACTCAACATCAAAAAGAAAAAATCTAATGAAAAATGGGCACAAGACCTGAATAGACATTTTTCCAAAGAAGACATACAGATGGCTAACAGATATGAGAGGATGCTCAACATCACTCATCATCAGGGAAATGCAAATCAAAACCACAATGAAATATCACTTTACACCTGTCAGAATGGCTAGAATCAAAAAGACAAAAATTAACTAATGTTAGTGAGGATGTGGAAAAAAAGGAACCCTCATGCACTGTTGGTGAGAATGTAAACTGGTACAGCCACTGTAGAAAACAGTATTTTGAGGTTCCTCAAAAATTTAAAAACAGGAATACCATTTGATCCAATAATTCCACTACTGGGTATTTACCCCCCCAAAACAAAAGCATTAATTTGAAAAGATACATTTACTCTATGCTTATTGTAGCATTATTTATAATAGCCAAGATATGAAAGCAGCCCAAACATCCATCAATAGATAAATGAATAAAGAAGATGTAGTGTGTACACACACACACACACACACACACACACACACACACACACACAGAGGAATATTACTCGGCCATTAAAAATGATGAGATCTTGCCATTTGCAACATGGACGAACCTAGAGGGTATTATGCTAAGTGAAATAACTTAGATGGAGAAAGAAAAATACCATATGATTTCACTTATATGTGGAATCTAAAAAACAAAAGAAATGAGTAAACAAAGAGCAGAATCAAGCCTATAAATACAAAGAATAAACTGATGATCACCAGATAGAAGGGTAGGGCAACAGGCAAAATGAGTAAAGGAGAGTAGGAGATATAGGCTTCCAGTTATGGGACAAAGAAGTCGTGGAAATAAAAGATACAGCATTGGGAATATAGTCAATGGTATTCTAAAAACATTGCATGGAACAGATGGTAGCTAACATACAGAGTGGCGAGCGTAACATAACAGAGTTACTGAATCACTATGCTGTATACCTGAAACTAATCTACCATTGTATGTCAATTATACTCAAGTAAAATTTTTTAATAAAAAAATTTTTAAGAATAAAATAATTCATTATCTTTTTTGCTAAAATACATGGGGCTATGATAATGGATACCAATTTAACTTTATACAGACCTGATTAGGATAGCCACTACTTCAAAATCTGTCAAACAGAAGTAAGCTTATTAAAAAATAAAATGAATACTAACATCACAGTTAAGCTATATGAATAATAAATTTCAAGCTGTGATTGATGACACTGATGTTAATTTCAAATATGCCAGCCTATATTTTTCTCTGAACATTAAATACATTGTAAAAAGAGACAAGGACCTTTATAAATTTGCTCTCTTACTATATATGTTTATCTCTCTATATAAGTATCCACTTATATACCATTGTTAAAAATGCCAAATTGCATTCAGGTAGTACTATAAAAAGCATCATTTTATAGACCTGAATTACCCAGTGAACCATAAAGAGTATCTGCTAAATTAAATTTCATGGTCAACTTATGTAAGAGTACTGTAAATTAAATGTTCATGATGCTATGCTCTCTTTGAATTCCTTTCCTTGAGTCTTTTGGTTCTCTTTTGGATCTCCACTGTGTACATGCAAATACTGAATTCTTTTTATATCTTTAATGTTCTGTATTAATTAGGTCAGGTCATGGATATTTAAAATAACTATTCTAAATATTGCATAAAATTATATAGTTCACTACAAGTTTGAAAATATGGTTTTAAAGGAGTTCTGAAGTTAAATGTAAAATAAATTTCAGATAGATGCACAATATCTTAATTGGAGTGTGTATACACAAACATACACACGAAGTAAAATATATTTGTTTTTACCATTTGCTTTGTGTACCTAAGAGCTAACTCAAATAATGGTGTATGACAATGCCACACTGGGTGACAACTTCATGAGGTATACTTTTACCTTCTCAAAAGGCAGAGAGATTAATAATGAAAAAAAAATGAACTCTAAAACAATTCATCATATGCATAAGAGTATTTACACACAAGAGAAAATGACAGGCAAAGGACAAAGCAAATTTTCTTCAGTAAGAATAACAACATACAAATGTACTGATACCAGTGTGAGTTAAGGAGCTATTTTAAGAAAGTATCAGTGTGAATTAAGGAGGTATTTTAAGAAAGTATCTTTTCCTAAATTAATTATTAAAACAAGATAATTTGGGGGGGGAGCTTACCAGTATTGCTAAAATAATAAAAGTTTGGACTAATGTCAGAAACACATTCTGGATATGCAAATTTAACTAAATGTATTCAAAAAACAAAAGGATGACTCATGTATTTATTTTTTTAACACCCACCCAAGCATCACTGCCCAGATTTAATACATTTTAACATTTCCCAGTTTTATATGAGATTCTTTTCTTTTTAACTCAAATTCTTTATATGAAAACTTTAAACAGCTGAAAGACTAACAGAACGAACACCTATATACCCACTCTCCATGAAGATTCAGTAATTATTCAGATTTTGCCATACTGCTCCATCTCTAAGAGAGAGAACAATTCAAATATTGAAGGTAACTCTGCTTGCTATGTCTCTAAATAAGATTAGGGCTCCAGAATAGGTATCATATTGGAGATGAAAATATGTTCATTCAGCTGATCTCATTTTTCCATATGTTACTAAACGTATAAGCTCTCCACATATTTGAATGGGACCCTGGATTTTTTTAAATTATGCAACTTAAAACACTGCAGAATTATATTGGTATATATTATTATACTATGCATTACTGTGTGTATGATAAATACATTTCGTACAAGTCTCATAAAACCACACATACTATACTTCAGGAATTTTCAATGATAATTTCAACTGTACACAACTGTCACCTTTAGAACATATTCTTACCAGCATTAGGTGAATATGCACTATAAAACCCATTGTAATCAATAATATTAGGAAATGAACACACTTATATCTTGCAGAAGTAAAAATTCACACAACCAACCAGAAAGGTAATTTGACAATACATTACATCAAAGCCTTAAAATCTTGCTGTCCTGGGAGTTCTACTTCTAAAGCAATTAACATAAATAAATGACTATACCCTGACAGCATGTTTTTAATAGTAAAAAAATGATAATTTCCAACAAAATCAGGTTGTTGACATAAACTATATTCCATCAACAAAATACTCCGAAACAAATAAAAATGAAGTTGTTGACTAAAAATATCTGTATTCAATAGCTACCTACATAATATATTCACATAATACAATTGTATACCTATGTATGCTAGATATGAAAGGATGCTCACTCTATAGTACATTTGAAAACAATTTCTAAAACAGTTAAATTTTTTGATAATTAAAAATATATAAAATTATAAACTAGAAAAATAAAATTGGGAACCGTATATACCAAAATGTTAATTCTAACACATTTTTTCTTTTTGCTTAGTATATTTTTGTGTTTTTGTACAAGGATCATATATTCATAATAAGATATAACAAGACACATTAAGATACAATGTTTTTACATATTATACTTTAAGATTATTTAAAGTTCAGTAATCTCACCATCATCAATAATACCTTCCTAAACTTTCCCCAAGTGCCTTTTTATATCATGAAACAGTCTCATTAAAAGCAAAATTTAGTAATGGGCTGCATGCTACTTCCCACAAGGTTTAGTTTGATTTGCTATTTGAGCTCTGACAACCACTAGAGTGGTTGATATTTGAAATCAGTGGGGATAGAAAGAGCATTTCTTTGGTTTTAACTAAAATAATTCAGTAACTCCACTAAAAACACACTTAAATCATTTTCCTTTCTCACTGAGCCCAGAATTTAACATACCAGTCAAATTCAATTTGGGAATAGGCAGTGGTTCCGTTGGAACAGGATGGTATGAAAATAAGGTAAACATTCCTCGTCCTACTGGAAGGGCCATAGTTCGCTGACACAACTGGAGCAATCTATAATTAAAATCAAAATCAACATGTGAAAAATTTTGAAGCAAAAAAAAAAAACTGGAATGTAATCTGTAGTTAAGCATTCCAAAAGAACTGCTGTGTAAGAGGAAATCACATCAGAGTAAATCCATACAAAGATGTGGATGAATCATCCAAACACGGTTATTCTCATTTTAATATTCTTGTTCCCCTTAGAAACTCTTAAGGGAGAGACACCATTTCTTTTGTTTCGTATTTGCTTTGAGTGAAAACCAGCTGGTCTATAAACCAAGCCAACTCTCCCTCAGCAACCAAAAAGAGAAACCCAAAATGCCATTCTGATGCTAACCTGCTCAAAGGTATGTTTTGGGTTTCCTCATTTTGTTATTTTCAGTCTAGCTGCCTTCAGTACATCTGGGATCCTCCTCCCACCCTCTTTGCCAACATAGCCTCAGAAGTGCCACCTCTGCAGGCATTTGGGTGGCTCAGTCAGGTAAGCATCTGTTTTCAGCTCAGGTCATGATCCTGGGGTCCTGGGATCGAGTCCTGCACTGGGCTCCAGTCCCGCACTGGGCTCCCTGCTCCGCGGGGAGTCTGCTTCTCCCTCTACCCCTCCCCCCTGCTCGTGGTCTCTCTCATGCTCTCTAATAAATAAATAAAATCTTAAAAAAAAAAAAGGGCCACTTCTGTAGCCTGTACACAGAAAGGAAAGCAAGTCCCTATATTAGAGGTCAGTGGATTTCAGTGTCTCCAGGGAAAAAAGAATTAGTTTCACTTACATGATGGCTAAGACTTATAGGATTTATATAGCACAGTAAGTTATATTCAGAGTTAAAATGGCTTCAATGGGCTGTATTTTGAAACTAATACACCACACTTAACTTGTTTCTATGTTAAATCACATTCCATGTAGCCCCTTAAAGCAAAATCAAACAGGAATTGTGGAAGTAGGGGTATTTATAACCAGGAAACGCTTAACAAAAGTTCTACCTCTTGTTAAGATATCCGTGTTGTTAAGATACAGAAATACCCCATCAGAGGCTAACATTTTCTCTGCAGACAAAGCTATTCATAAACATGTTCTCTCCCTAACTGTACATACATACAGCTGCTTTTCTAGTTTTTTTGGTAAGAAAAATCTGCTGTCCCAAGATTCTTTAGGAACAGTGCCCCATGTTAATTTAGAATCCAAAAAACTCAAGGCCATATCCCATAGAACTTTTTAGCAGAAACCTTAAACCCACAAAACTGATTTAATAATGAAAACAAAATACTGTAATCCCTTCTACCTGAGATGTCACTGATTATAAAGGTAAAAGAAAAAAACAAAACTAGCTTCATGTACCATTGAACTCAGTTAATAATCATGGCTAACTGCGCTGAGCTTTACTACGTACTGGGCAGTGTTCTAAGACTATATAGATATAACTCATTCTATACACAGAGCAACCCTGTGAGGTATGAATGGTACAATTATGCCTATTCTTATAGTTGAGACAACTGAGGCAGCAAGAAGTTAAGTAATTCATCCAAAGACACCCAGCACATCCAGAGCCCACACTAACCACTATGTTTCCATACAACGTCTCTGTCCCTCAGACTCCTCAGTTACAGGTGACTAATACCTAGGTATACATGGGAGAGGAAACAGTGAGACGCAGATTAAGACTAACTCAGATCTTTAGCACCCTGCAGCTAGGTATGGATGATCCTTCCCCATAAAGCAGGACCACTGTAAGCAATGTGAGGAGAACCAGAAAATAATGGTGGAAAATGACAGGTGACAGAGACATGGCAGGTAATAGGACAGGAGAGAATTTTCATATATAAGTTGAATTGTCCCAAGGCAACAACTCTGGAATGTCACAGGATGGTTACTACTGAGTATTACAATTATCAAGGAATATAACATATGTTAGAGATTGGCAGTAGAGAAGATTAGAGTATTACCTATCATATCAGAAAAAAAAAATACTGGTGTAAGTTTAAGCTACACTAAAAACATATATACATACACACACACACACACACATATACACAAACGTATTTTTTTCCTCATCAAGATACAGAAGAATGAGTTCAGAGTTTTGCTTTGTTTGTAAATTCTTACGGTAACTAAGCAAAATGGTCTTCGGGTCACCTTTTCTAAATAACAGAGCTGTATTTCAAGAGGAGGAGGATCACTTACGTCATCAGACACTCTTGTGTTATCAAATGCCAAAATATTCTGAAAAAATGTATGGTTTACTGAGGATGGATAAAAACTTAAAACACATGGTACTTTTAACTTTGAAGTATCTTTTTAGGGTTTTTAGTGTTAAAAAACACTGAAAACAGGTAACAACATGCCTCCTTTACCTGTTTTCTTTTTCCTCAATGAACTCGTGGTCACTGAGTTCTGGGTACTGTACTACATTGACACGGACGGGATGTGCACTTTGAAGAAGCCTTCGCACGTCCTGCACTCTTAAATCTTCACTCCATATTAACGACATAACCTCCTGATTCATGTCATTCATGCCATCATCTTCCTCCTCTGTTTCTGTTCCTGAAGGAACATCTGATGAGAGCACCTGAGTAACAGACTTGGTTGTAATAATAATTTAAAAACCAAACACCATGCACTTACTAAACACAAGGATATACAGGATGATGTGCCGTGCCTCTATCGTACAAAGAAAATATGTATTCCAAAGCAAGGCTGGTTTGGGTTCCCAGTGTATACTGGGACTCTAATGCAGAAATCTTTTTTAAAAGTACAATTATATTACTCACTTGGGAAAATTCTTTATTGAGTCAAGGGAAAAACATTAAATTTACGAAACAGTAAGGAAGCTGATCCATTGAACTTTCTAAATAACTTATAAAAATCTAACTATATCCTAAGTATCTTAAAAAGGAAACAAATTACTGCAAGCAGAATATGAAACCCACTCACTATAACTAAAGAACCCACAAAACATAAATATTATCTCTGATTAATATAAGCAGAAGAAAACAACCTGGGAGGATATAAACCAAGGGCTGGAGGAAGCTGAACAAAATTTTCTTACTTTAGTACTTTAAATGGATCATTATTGATTTTCACTTTTTTAAATAAGGATGTCTTAAATAAAAATTCCTTAATCAGAAAGTAGCTACAGCAAAACAAATGAAAAGGGTTAATCCCCTGATTATCACTCTGTCCTCAGAAGCTCAGCATGTGTTTTCATATGAGCCCTCCCCATCCAAATAATTCAATCACACTGCAACCTAAATGTGAATAGCATAAAATCTTCTCATTTTCTCTCAAGAACTTTATACTCCTTTAACAAAAGATTAATTCCTAGTTAAAATGCTAAAGTTTTGCGATATTTAACAGGGAAGCAACATTAGCCTAAAAACATTATAGCAGATGTGACTAACTAATCCCTCTTACTTAGTTCATAAATATTCATTACGGTTCCTAAGGAATATCTAACATTAAAAGAAACTATTCTACTGGGTGAGTTAGCTATAAAGTATAGATCCAAATAGCTCATAAACTGAATTTCGATGAGTCATAAAAGGTAGCCTCAAATAATATAAAATGTAACCTCAAATAACTGATCAAACTGAATTTAGATAGAATTACTTAAAATAACATCTTAAATAGATCAAAGATTATCAATACCACTTGGTTTTAGTGCTAATGATGTTAAACTGCTCTCACTCATAGTAACAAATGAGGTCTAAATGCTAAAACTTATCTTGGTAAAGGAAAGGATAATCATATTATTAGCAAAAAAAAAAAAAAACAACAAAAGGTTTTCTGTTTAGAGTAGGACAAACACTAATTCAACTAAGAGCTATTATATGAATGTAGATTAAAAGAGAGATGTGCTGGGCCAACCCTGCTGGAGATGGGATCCCACGGAAACCGCTTCTCTCATAGATCCAGTAGGCAACTCTAATGTGAGGAATAAAATTTTGATACAGACTCTGAAGCTCTGAAGAAGCATTAATAGCCTAAGATGTAATGTGGATTATAAATAGTTACAGTGTTTTCATTAATATGTGTTGGTTCAAAAGATGAGGCAAATTTGTGTTCTCTTGGGGATATAAACAAAGTACAAACAGGGTGCCTGGGTGGCTCAGTTGGTTGGGCATCCAACTCTTAATTTCAGCTCAGGTCATGATCTCAGGGTTGTGAGACTGAGCCCCGTGTCGGGCTTCATGCTAGGTGGAGCCTGCTTAGGATTCTCTCTCCCCCTGCCCCCTCCTACTCGCTCTAAAAAAAAAAAAAAAAAAAAACCCAAAGTAAAAGAGTCACCAAGAGTGGGAAAACCATCCCTGAATCCTCTATGATCCTCAGGGTAATGCAGTGCTACCACTTATATTTTTTTAAGTTAAAAGTAGTTGAAATTCCACTTTTAAGTTTTTAAAAGAGGCTGATTTTAAAAGGGAGATAATTGGAGAGTAACGATGTATTTCATTTTTTATTTGTAGGCTTCTCAGAATCCATTCTTTATAAAAGCAGAGGAAGACTGACAAAGGATAGAATTTCAGGAGGAATAATCTAAGACATCTTCTAAACAACTTTAGTGTCCCCCATCCCAGCTCCCAAAAAACCCTTTCCTGGAGCTTCAGTTTTATGTGATTAAACAGATATATTTACACCTGTTTAGAAGGTTAAATTCAAGAAATTCAACGTATCAAAAAAGTCTGAAAGAGAAAACAGTTACATATTCAAAGTGAGGATACATGTGCTCCCCCTTTTTCTACCGAACAGTCACAAAGTAGTTATATGGTACAAGCAGAGAAAATGGTACCAGTAATATGGTACAAGCAGAGAAAGAGTCATGGTAGTGGATCTACTGACTCAGCACTTTTCCTGACTTAAAGGAAAGAAAGGTCTAGGCAAGACAGAGCCTTCACAAAATCTCCTGTTCCCATGTTCAATTTATAAATAAGAAGATCTACCCAATTATAAACCCCCTATGGCATACAGTATAAAAGACAAACTGATATGTACACTTGTAAAAAGACTTAAGAAAAAAATGAAGAATAGGGGCGCCTGGGTGGCTCAGTTGGTTAAGCAACTGCCTTCAGCTCGGGTCATGATCCTGGAGTCCCGGGATCGAGTCCCGCATCGGGCTCCCTG